CCTAGTAAGTATAACAACTAAGTAAAGATAACTAATTAAATCTAAGTAAGGTAAACTATTGGATTTTACAGTGTACCTTAAACCGCATAAACACATTTCATTACACCAAATACACAAAATAATGTTCTTTTTAGCAGCATCATATGACCCCTTTAACACAAAGCTGCTTTAAAACAGTCTGTATTGTAAAAAGCAATATATAAATAAATGTGACTTGTAAGTAAATTAATCAGTACACTAGAAATCAATATAATTTAAACTAGACTTTCACATTCGCTGGCTGGTGGAACGATCTTCCCACCCCTATCCGGAATGCTGAATCCCTGACAATTTTCAAGCGACAGCTGAAAACTCATCTCTTTCGAAGCTATTTGACTTCATCATAAAAAAAAAAAAAATAAAAAAAATTCTCTCTCTTTATTTATTCCTTCTCTTTCTAGCTTGTACTTATTTGAACAATGTCTAAGAACTTGGTATTACATCCACTTCCTGTGTCTGTTTGCCTCTTTAAGAAGAATCGCTTTATGTATCCCCCAATTGTAAGTCGCTTTGGATAAAAGCGTCTGCTAAATGACTAAATGTAAATGTAAAAATTGAACGTCTGATCACTAAGAGAAGTAACAGCACACCTTTCCTCAACAAACCACACCCAATGCCTGGTTTGCTCGAACGCCTCATGTCTAAGCAATATGAGCAATATGAGCAAAAATATGTATGAGCAATAGCAGCATCAGTGATGTTTTCCAGCATTAATGAATATGGGTGCTGTGTCAGAAAGACCATTATTGGTCATAGGTGTGGTAGCAAGCAGGCCAGTCGTAACAGGAAGCTCCCACCACTGCATACACAGTCACTTCCTGTTTGCAGGCAGAGGTTGGAGCGGCTGGATATCCGTCGCAGACGAAACCGAGTGAGGGAACGAACAAGTGAGAACTAGAGATAAACGTCTCCTTCCTGCTCTGCTGTTCTTGTCATCAAGTGCTAAATTAACCAGTGCAACTGCCGTCAAACACAAAACAACTCCATGTTAAGATCACAAACAAACAGCACAAGAAAGCGCGGAAAATCTGGCGGAAATGGAAACAGGAGCTTAACGACGTTTTCAATATATTAGCAGAACATGGATCCATTTTTAATAATGCACACAAGGCCAAACCAACACATGAATTTCTCTGAAACAGAGGAAGGCATTTAATAGGATTTTGCAAAGCAAGCATCACCCAGAACAACATAGTAACCACCCAGATTTCCCTAGCAACTACACAGGAACGCCATAGCAACAGCAACACCTTAGCAACCACATAGCAACCCCCTAGCAACTGCACAACAATCCTCAAAAACACATTGAATTATGGCTGCAGGTTTTGCACAAATCTACGGGGAAAAAAATGGAAATAGTGTTAAATTCTCCTGTAAAGCAGCTTCTCTTACACCAAAGACTCTGTTATTCAATTTTTATCTGACAGACACTTTTCCCATTTCATTTTTATTACTTTTCTAGTGAGAAATGTTATTTAATCAGGTATAAAAGAGATGGATAACACAGTGTCAGTCACAGGGTTATTAGTGTTAACTAGTGTTAACTAAAACTAAAACTATTTAAAAAAAGTTTTTTTGTTAATTGAAAAAAAAAAAGCTGAAAATATAATATTAAAAATAAACATTAAAACTAAAATAAAAGAGATATAATAATAAAAAAATAAAAATAAAATAAAGTAAAATTAAATTAAATTAAATTAAATAGATGAACGACTTAAATTGAATAAAAATTAGAAAGAAATTGGCAACTAACTTTGTAAAAGAAATCATCGAACTCAATGGGACATCCTAGTGAAATAAAGGTAAAAAAAATAAAAATAACTGAAGTAAGTTTAATTTGAAACACTAAAATTACTAACTGGAAATAAATAAAAACTAAAACTGAAACAAAAATAAATTAAACCTGAATAGCAATATTTTAAAAATAAATGAATAGGTAAATGAAAAAGATGACAAAAACATCTAAAAAAAATGTAAACAAATTAAAACAGAATAAAATATAAAAATAAAAGCAAATTCATGAAAAACTATAATATAAATAATACTAAAATTGAAACAATACTAAAATAAAAAAATAAAAAAAACATGAGGAACCAATAAAAGTTTGACTGTTAGAATGATGGAAATAGAGACACCAGTGTGTAAAAAAAAATAGAATAAACCCACGTAGAGAAAAAAAGAGTCATAATAAGAACATGACATCACAAAGAGAGGTAATAGAAACTTAAAAATCACAAAACGGTCTAAATAATAATGACACGAAGAAGGGATGGCGCGTTCCACCGGAGGGTCTGTGTGTGTGTGTGTGTGTGTGTGTGTGTGTGTGTTTGTGAAGCACCCGTTGGCCCGGGGTTTTCAGGCTTCAGTCTGCACAAGCTGTTCTTTGTGCGTCCCTCTATTGTAAGGTCAGTTTCCAGAACCTGCCCGACCTGGCCTGTCCTCTCACAGGGGCACAATAGGGGCATTGAGTGGGCACTGAACTGCCTTTGAGCTCCGATAAAGCACCCAAAACGGCTGCTTCATCCTCTGAGCCTTTCCGGCATCGTCCAGGTCCATCTTTTAGTGAAGTGGGAGTTCATTCGTGCCCTTGTTCTTCATGGTTCTGGACCGAGGGGTGAACGGGCTTTCGGCTGGTTCTGGCATGGCATTGTCCGGTGTGCGGGACGGACCGCAGCTTGGCACCGGCTGAAAGCTGTGAAAGCAAATGATTTATGTGCTGTGTAAAGTTTGACTGACTCTAAACGACTGGACAGACCTCTGGGACTGTATAAAGTACAGCACCGTTTATTTTAAATAGCAAACAAGTTCGGAGAATATACTGCTTTTTATGCAACTAGGATGCCGTCCAAACGCTCCACGGCCTTCGAACCTTAACAAGAGTCTGCTGACAAACGCAGTAGCAACAGCTCTCTAGACCAAACATATATTATACAACGTTGGAAAACAGTTTGCAATTAAAACACTCAATCATTTCATCCCAAAATGAAAGAAAATAAGTTATGCATAAAGAAACAGAAGACATTTTTTGCATGTGATTTTCAAGACAGTTAAGCACAATTTAACCCCTAAATGCTCATTACTGAACGTGTCCAGATGTGCACTAAGTTTTTTTTAATTGTCATTTAATGATGATCCTCATTAGATTCTCATTACTGTAATAATAAATATATTGCTTTTTCCAGTAATGAAAATAAAAGAATAAAGATATTCAAACATTTAAATACAAAAGTATTCATATTTATTTGACTTTATTAAATGTACGTCAAGTTAAATAGTAGTGCATTCCAGTAATGAAAATAAAGAAATTATGTAAATATTTAGATTTAATTTATACAAATGTGTTTGTACATATTGATAATATTTATTTTACTTCACTTATTTATGCAAATTTAAACA